ACTTAGAGAAGAAAAGGAAGCATAATCTCCCAAGCTTCACTTAAATAAACCGAATGCATGGAGGGGAGATGGTCAAGGCTTTGGACATGTGGCCATCATGCAAAGAAAGATTCTAACTCCTTTGTCTCCATGGAGTCACGTGAAGGCAAGACATGGGAAAAAGGTCCGGCCAAGCTCCACTCATGAGCACAACACTCACGTGCACTACAATACAAAAGATGGCACGGATTCTAAAAGGGAATCTTTAGCATATGGACAATGTAGGCGCACGGTCTTCTAGCTTGTGTTGGAGGAAGAATCACTTGCACAAATGTACTAGCATGCACACGGCAATGAACATGAAATATGGACCGAAATGCACCACAACACACGGCACATGCACATGATCTCGGACCAATGCTACTAACACTAGAACTATGCGCACAATGTGCACGGCCATGCTCGTGACTTGAATAAAATTCGAACAATTAAGCTAATCTCGTGATTAGTGTTAAATTAATCACTTAATTATGTTTAATTATCCAATTAAACATAATGCTAAATTACCAAATTTATTTCGAACGTAAACGGTACGTCGAAAATATTTTCCGGTAATTTTGACTGAAATAACTGAAAATAATTGATTCCGAAAAATAATATCGGAACTGAAATATTATTATACTGATAAAAGTCGGGATATTACACACTTGCCCATATAACTTTGCAAACAATTGCACTTCACCAATTTCCAGTAATCGTCGAAAATTATAAGGGCAAAAGTAACTTTTTAGTCATTCATTAAGTTAAATTGTCATTGAAAAATTTAGGGGTGATTGAATATGAATTCAACTAGTAAAAAACTAGTTTTTTTTTTTAACTATAATTAAGTTTGAAAAAAAGTAGTATGTTTAGTTGTTAGTAGATATATTAAAATAATATTTTAATTAAAATAATTAAAGTTGGTTTGATGTAAAAGTAGGAGAAAATGATTGGAAGTGATAGTTAGTTAAAATTATGTGAGTGGATGAATATTAAATTAAAGTTGATGTGATGTGTAATAATGATTGGTTGATATTATTTAATTATATTGATAATATTGGAGATAGTGGAGTTGAGTTAAATTTGAGTTTTGAGTGAAATGTTTACTGTAAAATTCATAAACAATCACGCCACCCAGCATCTATACGTTTTTTTTTTTTTTTTCACTTTGTCAACTCATTTTTTTTTATTTACACTTTACCCTTAGAAATGGCTGGACGATAACTAGAAATTGGGTAAATGTAATTATTTAGAATGTTATATGACAAAGTGTCACGAAAAAAGTTGAATGGATAAAAGTGTAAAAAAATTTTTTAGTTAAATGGATTAAGTGCAGTTTTTCCAATATTAATTAATACTATATTTTACTCATGAGTTGTAAAAGATAGAGAAGTCTCGTGTTGGAGTTGGAGTATGACTATTGAATGAGAGCGGGTGGAGGCGCACGTGCAGGCTAACGTGGAAGACCTTGTCGTTTATAGGAAACCACAAAACACCTCTCATGTTCTCGTGTCACCTTTTTCCTTTATCCCCTTTGGCCATTACTTAATACCACCCTCAACTCAAACCTCTGTACTTTTCTCTCGTCGGCTTTATTTTTTTTGCAATCGCCGGGCCTCTCGAAAGGGTCGTCAGATCCCGGCAGGCCCTTTTGGTGCGATCAACTTTCCGGCATTGTTAAACCCTTTTTTTTTTCACGTTTAAATTTGTATGTATCTATGTATCATGTATGTTTGCCCACATTCGATTTCCATTTTTCGTTGCAGATCTCGGAGGATTTATTTCGAGAAGCTAAAGAAATTGTGAGAAAGAGAAGTACGAGGAGGATGTCTAAGGCTGGGACATTGGATCTGGCATCTGGGGTTGGTGGAAAGATTGACAAGGACCTCGTTCTCTCCGCCGTTGATAAGTACTCTTCTTCTTCTTCTTAAACACCACGCTAATGTTTGTTTATCGTCTTTTGTAGCTCTCGTGTGTTCGAATTGAGATTCTGTTGATCATGAATGGTTTTGAATATGATGTAAAAATGCTGTCTTGCTTGTGTTTATGTGTTCGCGCGTCCCTGTTTCGTGAAGATTTATTATTCGCATCATAAACCCATGACCTTTAACTATAATCACCTCGAGCAGAGGACTTTATCTTATCTTAATGCGGTGCCTCACCCATTTTGAAATTGACTTCAAATTAACTCTTCACTGTGGGCTTGCTGGCTTCCACTCTCAGGTGGTGAGCTCAAGTTAGAGCTCATAAATAATGGCTTATCAACTGACAACTAATATATTTATGTGAAAAGTGAAAACTAATCTCTTTTTCTCATAAGAGTCTAGGACCTGTCTGTCATCAGCATATATAGTTTGTGGACATATGGAGAAATAAATGAACATCAGTGTTAGTTGTAGACCGATTAGAATATACAGCAATGTTGACCAATTTGTCTGGAATTTGAAGAATAATGGTGTGGTGTGGTATAGCTTTTATTTGTATTTATGAGTAATTTGTGTTGGGTGAGCCCTACATGCCCATAAATGAACTTTCACATGCCTTGCATTGTATTTGGTAGTAATACTCTCTCTCTCTCTCTCTCCCTCTCTCTCTCTCTCTTCTATTTTTTTTTTCTTTTCTATGAAACTTGGATTGGATAGCCCTACATGCCCATAAATGTCTATTTTTTATGTTCAAGCAATAAAGTCAGTTTTTTGATATGGGGATGGAATTTGGCTATATTTTCCTGTAAATATTTGGCCTAAAATCTTGGTTATAAAGGAAGTTAATTTTTTTGTCAGTGAAAATTAAAATGATGGCCTTCGCTTGATTTTTCACCTTTTATCTTGACATCATGATTTTCTTGCTCTGCTAGGAAATTTTGGAACATGCAATTTTTGTTCTCTTTTGCATGGTGTAGTGTGTGATCCTATACTAAGCTTGTCAATCTTGTTCTGTAAATTAGGTACGAGAAATATCATGTTAGCTTTGGGGGTGAAGAGGAAGAGAGAAAAGCTAACTACACCGACATGGTGAGATACCGTTGCTTGTCTTGCCGAGATTTCACTTTGACTGGTCTCTTTTGTAACCTGGCTTACAGAATTATCGATTGCATTCAGTTTCAAAGTTTGAGAAATTCCAAGGGAATCATCGTTTGTATCTCTTTGAAGTTTTGTCATGTATTGGAATCAAGACCCTTTTTATGCCTTTATGTGATGTATGCTCAAATTAATTTGGTATTGGCTAGTGACTGATATGCTCTATTTTATATGAAATCTCTTTCCTGGAGTGGGTTATAAAGCTGAAAGAAAAAGTTGTAATAGCAGTAATATCTTTAAGGTAACATTGGAACTTCCCTGAAGTTTTTGCAATCTTCTGCTGAAAAGAGTCATTTGTGTCCTATCAGATCCTCACATGCATGAAAATTATCAGAATTCTGATCTGTTTAAATATATTTTTTGCTCGAAAACTGTAACAGGTCAATAAGTACTATGATCTGGTCACAAGTTTCTATGAGTATGGATGGGGAGAATCATTCCATTTTGCACCCAGGTAAATGATATACTTCTTCTAGATTTTGTTTTTGTTAATACTGATTCATTATTTGAAGTTATTAAAGTGCTAATTTTTCAAATTTGTTACATTTGTCCGTGCATAAGCAGCCAAGTAAGAATTGGTCATGATATAGACTCAATGTGACTTCCTTCGTAGTTCTTCTCACTTCCGAGGAAAAAATTTGTGAAAATATTTAGCATTTTAGTTGTCATTATTTTTTTTATAGTTCATACAGTCTTCTAGATACTTTATTTTGAAGCTTGTCAGCTTAACTAAGTGTGACTAATGTAATATCGTGTTAAAGGTGGAAAGGCGAGTCTCTTCAGGAGAGCATTAAGCGCCATGAACACTTCTTGGCCTTACAGCTTGGTCTAAAACCAGGACAAAAGGTACCATGGTCTTCTTGTTTTTTCCTTGGATTTTTTTTTTTTTTTTTTNTTTTTTTTTTTTAAATAATATATGAATCTATGATATAATATATGAATCTATGATGAACTTTTATACATGTCTGTAGGTCTTGGATGTAGGATGTGGTATTGGTGGACCATTAAGAGAAATTTCACGATTCAGGTGTTGTGAGAATCTAGTTCGTTTGGTTTCTAGTTTTATAATGGTCACTTCTAACTCTGGCAGCAATGCTTTTTTTTTTTTTCTTTCTTTTTCTGGTTTCTTGGCTAATTTTCAGCTGAATTTAAGAAACATGATATGAACATTTTTATATTGATCATCAGTTATTACTGTCGTATTCTTATATCAATACCAATGCATTTTGTCTTTTAAATTGCTGCCTCAAACTCTTATTTCGGATTCACTTCTTGCAGTAAAACATCAGTCACAGGTCTTAACAACAATGAGTACCAGATATCTAGGGGAAAGGTATATATATATGTTTGTTTCTAAGTAGTTCAAAAATGAATAATATCAATTTGTAACCCCAATTTTCTGCTATCGGACTAGCTCCCGTTTCATATTCGTTCATGTCTCATGTTGTCATGACCAATCGAGTTTCTGTATTTTCTTCTTCCGTTATTTTTTTTTTCACTTTAAAAAATGATCAAAATTGGGATGGTGCAGGTGCTAAATCGTATTGCTGGAGTGGACCGTACATGTGACTTTGTTAAGGTTAGTAGAGTTGGAATTTCATTTTTTTTCCTTCCGATTTTTCCCTCTTCCCAGGTTTCTAACGATCGTAACTGTTCAGGCTGATTTCATGAAGATGCCATTCCCAGACAATAACTTCGATGCAGTGTATGCAATTGAAGCCACCTGTCATGCCCCGGATCCAGTATGTAAATCTACAACACATTCATTGTTGACTGACTTAAGATTTATTTATTTATTTATAATCAAGTAATAATGTTTCATTTAATTTTTTTTATCTTTTCTGTTCCTACAGGTTGGATGCTACAGGGAAATATATAGGGTGCTGAAACCGGGGCAGTGTTTTGCTGCATACGAGTGGTGCATGACTGATGCGTACGACCCCAATAACAAAGAACACCAGCAGATAAAGGTGATCAACCCATAATTACACACGTACCCTTCGAATTTCGCCTTTTTTACACAATTATTTGGCTTGACATATAAGATTCCCTTTGGCAGGCTGACATTGAACTCGGTAACGGGCTCCCTGATATTAGGCTGACTCACCAGTGTCTTGATGCTCTTAAAAAAGCTGGTTTTGAAGTGAGTTGCCAAATTCTCAACAACTTATTACAAGCACATTTCACAGATAATCATAAATAAAACTAAGATAATTGGATTTTCGTCATGTTAAAAAGGTCGTGTGGGAAAAAGATCTTGCAAAGGACTCACCTGTCCCTTGGTATCTGCCTATAGACACAAGTCACTTCTCAATCAGCAGTTTCCGTTTGACGACTCTTGGACGTTTTTTCACCAGAAACATGGTAAATGATTTACATTAAACTCTATGCACATATGTTATTTATTTATTTATTTTTCGCGTGCTTTTTTATTCTCGGGTTTTATTGGACATATATCCGTGGTTGCTTTGCAGGTGATGGTTCTAGAAACACTCGGAGTTGCCCCTAAAGGAAGTCAAAGAGTTCAAGCTTTCTTAGAAAAAGCTGCAGAAGGGCTTGTTGTTGGGGCCAAGTAAGTTCTATTTTTATTGGCTTCTTTCTCCTTTTTATAGTTTTTTCACCATGCTTTCTTGTTAGATTTGATCGGAATTATTGGATAAAGTGAGTTAATTTTGGAAAAAAAGTTGATTAAAGTTTGGTTTGAGTGGAATTTTGTGCTCGTATTTATAAATAATATTAAAAATATAATGATTGAAGCAAACGAGATTAAAAGTAGGAGAGATTTGATAGGAAGTGATGAGTAATTATGTGAGTGAATGAATATTATTTTAATATATTGATAATATTAACAAAAAAATTATCTGGTAACTCACAACTGAATACGTATCCAATTATGCCTTATGATATGGTAAGGCTTCACATTATGCTTGGACAGTTGAGACATACTAAATTGATGGCATTATTATTATTATTATTATTATTATTATTATTATTATTATTATTAGGTAAACCTATTTACTAAATATAGTAGGTAGAAAAGTCAACTTTAATTAATGAACTTCTAATTTTATCAAATTAATGAACTTCTAATTTTATCAAGTAGTAATTAATGCATTTATAATTTTAATCAAGTTTCCTATTTTACATATTGTTTTTAATCTTTCTTATCTCGACATAAAAAAATCCCATAAAATGGGGTGAGAAAAAACAATCAAAATTCTGTTTCTAAAAACTACAAATCAATATTACGATTTTGAATAATACACTAACAAATTATAATATATTTTTATAAAACTTATAAAAAAACTATTAAAAAAACTTGGTTCATATATTTGTATGGATATTTATATTTTTTTAATATTATCTTTGTGTTAAAAAAAAACTATTTAACACTATTCTTTTTTATTATATAATAAAATAATAATTAAATATTATATGATAAACAAGAATAAATAAAACTGTTACTTTTCTCTTATATCAAGGGATAAATTTATATACTGAAATTAAAGTTTTATTAGTATAAATATTTTAGTGAGATAATAAATTAATTATTTTACAAGCTAGCCCTAACATACTCATATTTAAGTTCTGACTAAAAAACAATGCTGGTTAAAAGATATGAAAAAAAACTTATAACCTTATTATTTTTTAGACTTAACGTTGATCAAAAGAGGTAGAAAATAGATAATAACACTATTACTTTTAAGATTTAAACGGACAAGGCTGTTAAAATAACTCATTTAATATCTATGTTCCGTGCATCGCACGGGGTACGTACTAGTTATTATTATTATTATTGGTCTCTTACAGTTTATTTTTCATGTGATGCCTGGCACTAACATTGTGTGTTACCTTTTATTTTAGGAAAGAGATTTTCACGTCAATGTATTTCTTCGTAGCCCGGAAGCCCCTTGCACAAACCGAGTAACGTGTGATTTATTTTAACTGCATTGCGCGAAAATTATCTGAGCAGCAAAAGAGCTCGTTTGAATCTTGTCTTTTGTTCGAAAAAAGCTCGGTGGTGTTGGTTTGTTAGAACTTAACTTATATTAGTGATTTGTTTCTGGATTTGATAGGGCTGTTTGAATTTCTTCAGGGACTTGCTTTTGCCATATTCCAATACCCAAACATTTTGGACACTATTTCCTTGTTATTATGAACCAATCATCAATCTATCAGGAACAAAAAAGAATAAAAAAAATAAAAAAATAATAAAACTATTTTTAAAAAAGAAAAATATGTTGATATTAATCATAGTAGATCACAGCTCCTTCAATTAAATACGAATTAGTACAATACCTGTGTATTATAAGAGTGTTTGATAAAAAAATATTTTTAAATATTAAAATTAATGATAAAAAATATTTTAAATTTTATTTAATTTTTTTTACAAAAAAATATGACCAGTAATAACTGGGGCATGGCGAGACAAGACTGGAACCAAGGGAGATGAACCTATATTGGTTATATAAGGCTCCATCTTAGCCCAATCAGAGTCTCGTCGACCCTCGAAATGACACTTGTTACTTGTTCGACTTACATGTGTTATATTATAGTAATTTTTATAACTTATATATCATATAATTACTTAAAATATAAATATGTTAAATGTTAAATGATAAATAATTTTATTTTTTTAATTAATATTAAAAAATAATTTTATTATTGTTATAAAAATATATATAATTTATTTTTTTATACATACAATATGAATGTTAAGCTTATCAAGAGATGATAAATTCGATATATTATATATGTGAAACTGATAAAAAAATATAAAAGTTATTAACTTTTAAAACACATTTAAAATCCAATGGTTATAATAAGAAAAAATAATATTAAAATGCAATTAATACATGTAACATCACCATAAATAATCAACATATTTATGAATAAATCAGACCTAATTATTTTTGGATTGGAAATAAATTAAAATTTACTCAAGCCTAACAACGAAGCATATAATTTTGCCGCATAGGATCCGAAGCATGCGAGCACGCCACGTAAGCTCAACACGTTTTGGATTAATATAAACGTGAAGATGGAGATGGGGATGGGGATTACATGAGTAATGATCCTAGAAATCTGTTAAGAAACAAGAGTGTAAAGAATGAAATCGGTAGTATCATTAATCGGGGCAGCACCGGCGGGCTGTTCGGCGTCGTGATCATGGGCGGCCGGAGGAGGGTGATAGTACATCCGGCCAGTTTGCGGGCAGTGTGAGTGAAATCTTGAAGCCATCCTAAGGAATGAATCCAAAATCTCAGCCCACTTACTCCCCATCACCTCCTGGCCTGCTGCCCGTCTTATTTCTTTTCCTTTTTCTCTTCAAACCTGTAATTACAGAACAAAAAAAAAAAGGAAACATATTCAAGGAACAAACGGGAAATTTGGTCCAACTTCTTATTATAGGAAATGAGTGTTTTTCGGGCTAATCATCAACCTACACATAATAAGACACAAATTTGGGGCTCAAACTCCGGTTCTTGGGGTTTGTTTATGTGTTATTTTTTTAAATTGTTAGTGAGAAAAATAAAAATAAATATGGATGGTATATATGGTTCATACCCTAAATCGAGGTTGAACACACATAGGGCGTAGCCAGAATTTTTTTATTTTTTTTTTCATCCTACACTGTAAAATGTTCAAATCGAGTGTTCGATGGCTAGTCCTGTATACGAGTCGAGTTTGAGCAGATCCCGAGCTTTAATGAGTCGTGCTCGTTTAATTTAACAACACTACTGGTAACATAGTTCGGTTCGACTTGTGAAAGGTCGAACTCGACTCACTTGTATATTTAAACAAACCAAAATCAAACAACTAATCGAGTTTTTCTATCAAACAAGTCGAGATGAACGTGTTCTCGATCGACTCAATTTGAATTTTGGATTTTGGTCTAGATTTAAAAGTTTATTAAACAAGTCGAACCGAATTTCAACGGTCCAAACTTGCAGAAATTCTATGGCACCACATGTGGCACCATATTATGGTGCCACAACATGATGTGGCATATTATGATTGGTGCCACAACTATCACACATCATGTTGTGGCACCAATCATAATGTGCCACATCATGTTGTGGCACCATAATATGGTGCCACATGTGGTGCTATAGAATTTCTGTCCAAAATGTGCTCACATTTATGTTTGTTTATTAAATAAGTTAGAGTCATGACAACCCGTTTATTAGATGTACACGAGTATAAACATGAAGTACTTGACTCGAATAATCTAACTAGGTACATGTATTAAAAAAAATAAAAGTATGGAAACAATTGGAAGTATTATTAAAAATTACATAAATCACACATTAAATAATGTTAAAATATAAATATGTTCATTGTAAAATAAATTATTAACTACTGTGTTATACATTGGCAAATCATAACTTATTTTTTTCTTATATACTTGAATTTTAATTAGAAAAAATAATATATTAGTGTCATGGTAAAATCCCTTAAAATTTCATAAGAAATTGATATAATAATTTTAATATTTTTTAGCAAATTAATTAGTCATGATCTCAAAAATTACAAATATTACATTATTTATTACATTATATGCAATCAATATAGTGATTCATATGCAATCAAATAGTTATGTACTATTTATTTTAACCAATGATTAAATTTTAAAACACAATGCCATTATTTAACTTATAATTTTATTATATGCATAAATATAGCTTACAATGCTTTATGTTTAAAACTTAATACAATTATCTAACTTGTAATTTTAATTATATGCATATAAATAACTTATAATGATTTATCAATATTTGTGCAAATGGACATAGTCGAATACTAGTTCCCACTGATAATGTCTCAATTTTATATTATTTTACTTAAATATCAATTATGTATAGTATGTTTAAGTGAATCATTAAACACCGCCCCATTTTTACTAACTGCCACCTCGCTTCACCGTTCCCCCC